TGTCAGAAAATGTTGTTTTGTTTTGTTCAGGATCTGCTGCAAACTGTTTGTTTTTGATTTTGTATTTTTTTTAGAGTCAAGTCGAATAAAGTGATTTTGCTAAAAGGACACTTTTTTAAAGCTCAGCTTTGATTTACTCGACGGCGGTGTACGCCACACATGATGCGTTCAAAGGCTGTTGGAAAGCTAAAAATCTGGTGATTTTCTTTTTTTTTATGGATAAATGATGCTTTTTAAAATCCACCAGCAGGTTTTACCAGTTAGAGGCCTTAGAACTGGATAAAACCAAAAAATCTCTAAGTTGTGGCTTCTCAGTTGCGGGGAAAAGTGTTCTGGTTAAAACAAGTGGTTTACTTTAAGGTGTTTTTTTAAATGAGACACAAAATAGAGTGATTTTGGTAAATTTTTAGGATTTTAAGCTCAAATTTGGTGACATTTCAACGGCAGAGATGAGTCGGTCAGGAACGCTTGGAAAGTAGAAAAACTGACAAACTTTTGTGTTTTTTTTTTTTTAAAAGATAAATCAAACAGTCCCTGAATTTCAGTCACGTAAATTTTGGCCGCAGCTGAGCTTTTAGTTTTTTAGAGAATCTCTTGTTTTTGCTGATTATTTTAAATGAGACCTGCAGAACTAAAGGTCACATAAAAAATATCACGATTTGGTTCATTTTATCAAAGACAAAGAACGATTAGTTCAGGGATCGTCTGAAGTTGAAATCCAACAATTCTTCATGTTTTTAGTTTGTGTTTCTGATAAACGCTCTCATTTGGGTGATCTTTAAAACGACAACGGACCCTTTAAACCTTGAACCTGCTGCTGGCTCTCGGTGGGTTAACGCAGCGACTGAATGTGAAACAGAAACGTCCTGCTGGCGGCTCAGCTCTAAACTCACACCTCTGGCATTTGTTTCATCATTTCCATTCCTCCCATTTTTCGCTGCTATCGTTACAGCAATTGTTGACTTTTTTCCTTCATCGTTCCTGATCAGAAACAAGCGTGTTCTCAGTCCCAGCGTGCGACCCGGGCTGGTTCCAGAACCACCTGCAGTCGGCCTTCAGGGGAAACTGGTCACATTCATGCAAAGTGACAAAGTGAAGGATTTGAAAAAACAGGGCCTCTAATTACATTTTTATCCTGGGTTTAATTTCACAGCTTCTTTATGAACTTTGAAGGGTGTTCCTGTTTCACCCCGAGGCTCTGATTAATTTCTGACCCTCCTGCGTGACACCGAGCACATTTTAAATCAGGAGTGTGACGCCGCGTCGAGGTCGTGGTCCGATCCCTGCAGCTCTCCGCTGGCTTTGTTATTTTAAGATCAGGTTCAGATTTTCCCCGGAGGACGCTGACGTCCCGCCGAGGAAAATATTAAAAACACGTCACGGATGCTCGGTGTTTCCTGTTCGCTCAGGTCTCCAACCCCCTGCCGGTGGCGGTCGGAGCCCCCGGCGGCGGCGGCGGTGGCGGATCGGTGGTGGTGGAGAGCGGACCGGTGGTGTACGATGACGCCGCCGCTGACGAGGAGGACGAGGACGAGGAGGAGGCTTGTGTCAGCGCCATGCAGCTGCTGGGAGGCGACGGTCAGTCAACACTCAGGATGTTTGGTTCATCAGATCTGTGAGAGTCGTCAGATATTAGAAAAAGAGTTCTTATTTGGCAAAACAGTAGAAAACACTTGGGCTACATACACAACATATTCCACTAAACGTTCAAACGTCCTCTTCTGACCCCTTCGCTTCATGTTTGACACAAAAGCTCCATAAAGTTTGCTCTTCAAGTCGAGACACTTCAGTCTTTTAATGTCAATTTTAAGATATTTTGCACTGATGACGTCCAAAACACGCACTCAGGAGGTCACTTAACTTTGTCTTTTGGACATTTATTCAAATCAACACGTGTTTAAAGTGAGATAAAAACCCAACGTACACACATGCCCACATAACATTTTCCAAATTGACTCAAAAGTTGTCCAAAATATCTCAAACTTTCTCAAACTTGTTTAAATTTCACATTTCAAGCCAGTTTGGACACGTTTCTTTTGTCATTCTGGGAAATCCCACAGCAGCTTACAAACACCTCTCCAGATGTTTTCCCTCCACATTTGGACAGATGTTCCACCATGTTGGATGTATCTCCAACATCTGGCTCCTCTGTTCACTGGTTCTGAGCCATACTGCTTTTATCCTATGGGTCCAGTAGGCTGGGTTTTCCTTTAACATTGTCAAAAATGATTGGAAACTTGTCTAAAGTAAGTAAATGTTTAAAAGAAATGACTCAAAATGTGTCTTCAGTAACTTAAAGCTTCTCCAAAGTCACATAAAATTGTCTACATAAACTCAAAACTGGTCTAAACTAACTCGAGAATATCTCAAACTGTCCTGAATTCCTGTAAATTCATCAAAAATTACCCAGAATTTGTTTAAAATGACCCAAAAAAATGGTTCAAAATGATAATGTTCAAGTCTTTCATGCTATTTTGGGCAAATGAGAATGAGTTTATTCATCCTGAAGGAAACTCTTGTGTCAGATATCACTAAGAAAACAAATGAAATGAACAGAAATATGAAAAAATGAACATAAATAAACAGTAGAAAAGCAATGAGATGTAAGTAGAACACTGAAATAACAGAAGTAAAATACAAGAAGGCTGGTTGAAAGTGAAATATTTCACATGAAACTGAAATATGACACCTGAGAAACGAAAATCAGACAATGAATCATTCTATATATGTAATAATATTTATATATTTTGTGTATTATCAGCTGGGTAAGTTTAGTCACAAAAACCTTCTAATAAGAATAAATGGATTTTTTTTTTGTTTAGTTTTCTCGGTTTTAGTTGTTTTTCTCTGATTCTGAGCCATAAATCTCCACCGAGAGACGCCAGACCGTCCAGTTTATTTCTGTCTGAAGGTTTCTTACACAGTGATCTGGTTTAAAGAACAAATGATTTCTAGAAATGTGGCTCAAACTGTTGGTATTTTCTGATTTATGGAGTAGTAAAAGCCAAAGTCCCTTGTGTGAAAACAAAACTACAAAATGAGCAAACGAGAGTAAAAACAGTAAAATAAAATAGACAAAAACTACATTTAGACTCTGATTGAGTTCACAAGCAGCAAATCCTTGAGCCGGAGCAGCTGAAAGTGATAAATGACACATCGAGGCTTTCAGTAGGACTGCAGACAACGATTACTGTGATGGTTGATTATTTTCTGGATTAACTGACGGTTGTTTGGTTTGTAAAATGTCAGAAAATGTTGTTTTGTTTTGTTCAGAACTCAAAGATTCTCAGTTTGCTGCCACAGAAGAGGAAAGAAACCAGAAAGTATTCACATTGAAGAAGCTCAAATCAAAGATTGACAACAAGAAGAGAAACTGATTAATTCTTCTAATCTAATTCTAATTCTAATCGTTCTTGTGCCTCTAATAAATGTAATTTACTCATAACAAACTGAAAGCAGGTGAAATCATGTGAAAAAAAGTGTTAAGATTTTTAAAAAGGAACCTTGGAGCTCGACATCAACCAGATGAATGATTTTGTGTGTTTGTGACTCAAACTACAACCTGGAACGAGTTAATTACGGTTAATTGGTGCTGATTAGCAGCAGCAGGTCGCTTTAATTTGACTTCAAATGATCCTTTTCAGACTCGACGAGGCTCCGACTCTGCAGCGACGTCGGGAGTTTTTTTTTTTTTTCGACACCGACAGCGTCAGACGTCTTTGTCGCTGCTCGGTCCGACTGTCTGGACTGTGAAACCGCCGGACTCGCGTCTCTAACGAAGCCGCCTCTCTGGGTGTTTCTGCCCAGACTCCCGCTACGTTTTAATGAGGCCTCGCCAAGATGAAATCTCCTCATTTTATGTCGGCGGCTGTTAAACTTTAAGGTCCCTGCCTCGGCCCTCATAAAAGGTCCAGAGCTGCTTAATTGATTCCTGTAGGGGAGCTCTTTGTTTGGCCGTTGGAGGGTCGGGGGGTCGGGGGGTCGGCCTCGGAGCAGAGCCAGATTAAACCGGAGTCCGACGGAGCCTCCGAGTCACACTTTTTACAATCCTGACCTGCTGCTGCTCTTCATGAAGTCACAAAGCAACTCTGCAGACTTCTTCTAAATCTGTTCTGTGGCTCTTAAAGCAGCGAGCGTCTCACCGGTTTGATTTAAAGCCTAATAACTACGTTTAAGTGTTATTTTTGGTGCGACTTCTCATCCTAATCCTGTAAAACGTTGTTTAGAAAAGAAAAAAAAAAGTCAGTTAAAGTAGCTTCCTATTGGTTTCATTATCGTCTGTGACTCGTCGCTGCTTCAGTTTGGCAGCTCTGTCGGCATCATTAAACTTTTCTGGAGGTTTACATGTAATTACTCCTGTGAGGTATCGTCTTGTCAGAAATGTGTGAATAAATGTCTAACAGGAAAAATGCACAAAAACAAACACTATAAAGTGTACGTTGGATGTGTTTTTTTCACAAAGCTGGAACTCCATCAACACCTTTAGTTCCCGACCTGTTTCTGTGGAGCGTTTGAACCCTTAGATCAGAGTTCAGCACCAACTCATCCCTCCTTCCTCGTGTCCTGCAGGTTACGGCTGTGACGGAGATTACGACGACGGATTCTAGCGGCCGGATCTTCATCGCCGGACGGATCCTCAGACGTATCACATGTTTACAATCAGAGACACGAAATGGGAGTTGCAATGCCGAGCGGGACGAGGATCACAAACGAACGTCGTGCCGCTGGTTCCGTCAACTGGACCGAACTGGGGACGAGCATTTATCAGTGCACGTCGCTGGCGGGCTGAGGTTACCAGACGGTACCATCAGGGGCTGGACGGGTTGCAGTAGGAGCTGGTTTGATTTGCAGGTCAGAAGAAACGCAGGTGGTGAAAGTAGAGCTGCAAGATTTATTATTTTACCTTTTTTGTTGTTTTTTTGGCTGCAACTAACCATTATTATTTTCCAATTTATCAGTGAGTTGTTTGGTCTATAAACTGTTTCCCAAAGCTCAAGATGGAAATGGTCTCGTTTTACCCAAAGACTTTCAGTTTACTGTCATCGAGACGTCAAGAAACTAGAAAATGTTCAATATTTAAGAAGCTGGAATCTGAGAATTTAGAAGGTTTTTTTGTTTTTCTTACAGAGTTACGAATCAATTATCATAATAGTTGATGATTAAGTTAAAAAATCATTGCAGCTTTAGTTCAAACTAGACATTTAAAGGCATCATTTATGGTTTTATTGACGAAACATCTGGATGAAAATCCCCGGTATGTTAATTGGTAATAGATAAAGTCATGAGTTGCAGCCTGACTTAAAATTGGGCTAAACTTTGAGATAATTGCGACTGTCCTTCTAACAGATGACCTCTTAAAGCAGAAGGAGGATCTGCTTCAATCCACGAGCATCACAGTCGTCTGAATTTATCCCAGTTTTAAGCTATAAACCTCTTCTGACCTGCAAAAAACACCAAACCAGCGTTTACTGGGAGGTTCTTACTGTCTGCCCATCAGGATTTTTGCAGCTCCTTTTGAACGGCTTCGTTGAGGAACGTTTGTCGTAGCGAAAACAGAAGCGGAACAAAAAATGCACAAACTAGTGATCCTCAGATTTGCACTTTGCATTCATAACACTTAAAGGGAAAGTTGAGGTTCTTTAAAGTCGGGTTCAATGAGGTGCTTGTGTCCAGATGGTGGCTGGTTGGTGCAGCTTGTTGTCGGAGGGACCTTTGCTTTGGCGCTAGCTTCATATTCCAACATATAAACGGACCTGTGCTGCGTTAGGCTGTGAACACCTGCGTTGGTCAGAGTTTTAGAGGCTTCACACCGTCGTGGTTCTGTGAAGGAACGTGGAAGTTCTGCTACAACGAAGCATTCTGGCATTTTCTAACCATCTGATACGCCGTTAAAACGCTCTGCTGGACTGATATCCACAACAGTTCAGACATGATGACGTTTGAGATACACATGGAGCAACTGTTCAACTAGTCTGAACTAACCAGAGATCCCTAACCAGTGCTGTGACTGGTCAGATACGTGGAAGAAAAAAAAAAAAGGCAGATGTTTATAAATTTGGAAACTGGTCAGCAGAATCGAGATGAGACTTTCTTAAGGATTCCCGGTTCTAAGTTGAAACCCTTCCGGTTAAACACAGGATTACACCTGCTGCTGCCGTATTCAGGGCTGCGACTAACAGTTTTTTTTTTAATTGAACTAATTAGTTAGGAAACCTCGCTCAAGCATCATCCCCAACAATTCGCACCAGCGATGACGTTTGAGACGTGTGGAATCATGATTCTGACCAGTCCAGTCTGAATCACAGAGATGTCAAACTGTTAGTTTTGAGATAACTGGGATAAATATTTAGCCAAAATGATGCTGTTTATGTCTGTAATGTTAATGCCAGACAGTTACACTCAGCTCTTAAATGTCAAACCAGCTTGTTATGGGCGTCAAAATAAGCAGAAGAGCTACTCCAGGTCCTGGTGTTGTGTTCGATGTCAC